AAAAAAAAAAAAAAAAAAAAAAAAAAAAAGAGCAGACAACAAAGCCCGATAAATGGAAATTGTTGTCTCTTCTGTGGCTTAAACTAGTTACTAAATATATATTGTCTTTTATTGTGAGATTCATATACGTCTTCGTGCTTTGGCTTGCGGTTCTTTATGTGAAGCATCTTCATTGGTATCGACTGTAATAGTAACAGCATCTTGGTCTTTTGACTGTCTTTTCCTTTTTCTATTATGAAATGTATGATTTAACTTCTTTGATATTGAGGTTATTCTGTCATTAAACTTTGATCGTATATCTTCGAATGATTCACACTCTGGTGCATAATTCACTTTCAACATATGAGCAAAGAATGGTTTTTCATCTAGTTTACGTTTAGCCATTCTAGCTGATGCTATATTCATATATTTTATCCAGACAACATCAGTCTCTGCTGTTGAAGTAGGATAGTGATCTAATGGCTTATATTCTTCTATATCACCATACTGTTGGCATAGCTTTATGAGCTCGTTAATAACGCCTAAAGATGGTATATTCTCTATAATCAAATATCTTGACTCTTGAGATATTGTATACACACATGTTGTCTTTGCTGTCTTGGGCTCCCGATAGTCTGGTTTATGCATTCAACAGAAAAAAAAGAAAAAACCCGGAGCTGCAAAGAGAAGAAAATAGAGTCCGGCCATTGTCCGGACAATTATTCCGGAAGGGAGACTTGAAATGGAGCAGAGAGGAGGACCTCATATTGCCCACTACGGGATATAGTAAACAATCCACTGCGTTCGATGGTTGAATCTTTCTCTTTGCTGTGCGTATTAAAAACGTATGTATACAACACATAAATAATCAATATAAAAGAGAGGGAGAATAGATGGATGAAAGCGAAAAGGATACAGATTGGATTAAATAAGACTAAAAAATACCATCAGATGGAATAAAAAAAAAAAAGAGAGAATGAACAAGAGAAGATCATGAACTGACCATCTTCTTTTTCATTTTTTAGAGTATTATAAAATATGGTCAGATACGCTGCTACTCCAGCCAACCCTTCCAAGGGTAAGTTGATCAATACATGTATGCATTATAAATACTTACACCTATACTTCAGCTGCTAAATCCAGAGGTTCTTATCTCCGTGTTCACGTAAGTAGAGATGTACACCAAGAAAGGAAGACATGATGAGTTTGACAGTTTTTATAGTTTAAGAACACCCATGAAGTTGCTGTCGCTATTCAAGGTATGAAGTTGAGCAAGGCCTATGCTTACCTCAACAACGTCAAAGAACACAAGCAGTGCATTCCTTTCCGCAGATTCAACGGTGGTGTCGGTCGTACTGCTCAAGCCAAGGAATTCGGTGCTACTCAAGGTCGTTGGCCCGTCAAGTCTGTCAAGTTCATTCTTGACCTTTTGAAGAACGCCGAAAGCAACGCTGAGGTAAGATAGAAATCAATGTGCGAGGAAGAGAGATGCTTACTTATTTATAGGCCAAGGGTTTGAACGTTGAAGAGCTCTTCATCTCCAGTGTCATTGTCAACCAAGCTCCCAAGCACCGTCGTCGTACCTACCGTGCTCACGGTAGAATCAACCCCTTCATGTCTTCTCCTTCTCACATTGAAGTCATTCTTACTGAAAAGGAAGAAGCTGTTCCTCGTGCTACTGACAAGAAGGTTGTCAAGCTCAACGCTCGTCAATTAGCCCGTAATGCTCGTCTCTTGGCTGGTAAGACCCGTCCTGTTAAGGCTTAATGTATGTGATGCATTGTGAAATAAATAAAAAGTCAGATAAACAAACGTCAGAATTAAGTTACACCAATGCTGCATCACGTGTGCTTTGAATGAACAAGCAGCTGATAGTTGCTTCTAGAAGTAGGGATCTTGAGCCTAAAAAATGTCAAGTGACATTAATTTAACCACCTTATTTCGTGTAAACTCCGCTTGAGATAAATTTCTCAACGGTTTTTTCTCTTGTGTTCTTCCTTCTCTTTCCTTTGTTTACCAAACATGTCTTCTACTGAACCCACATCTACTACCATTACCACTACTGTTACTACTCAACCTGACGAGGTTGCCCCTAATCAAGCAACTACTACTGCTGAACCTACTCAAAATACATCCACTGAGGCCAGTGCTCCTGCTGTAACCGAAGAACCAAAGGAAGGAATCAGACAAGAACCTGCTGTTCCTGAAGAGCCTACAACAACAACAACTGAAGCTCCTCCCCAGCCTACGCCTTCCAAATCAAACACGACTAAGCGCCTTTCTTTGCTTCTTGGTAAAGCAAAGCATTTTGTTGATAAAAAGGTGTCTGATAAGAAGCCTGCTAAACCTGTAACGGATGAATCTGCTCCTGTTACAGAAGAGCCTGAGCAGACAGAGACTGCTGAGCCTGCTGAAGCTACCCCTGCTGCTGCTGAAGAACCCAAGAGTAAGAGCGAGAAGCGTAAATCTATCTTGGGTGGATTGTTCCGCAGTAAGGTAAGATGTCGTACTTTGTCAGATCAAAAACATGGGCGGACTTTTTTGTCAAAATCATGAGCAACAATGACAAATCGCCTAATTTTTAAAAACCTGATCTATTGAAACTCACACTTATTATTGTTGTAAATAGAGTCCCGTAAAGGAAGGTGACAAGACAGATGAGCCTGCTCCACCCGTACCAGCCAAAGGTATCTTAAGATAAGCAAACTTAATAACATTTTAATTTATCTATCAATATAGATGAACCTGAAGTAACACCCGCTAATACTACTACCACTACTACTAATACTACTAATACAACTGATGAGCCTAATACCACCACTGCTACTGTTAATAATACTAATACTAATGAAAATGCCGCTGCAACTGGCCCTGTAACCGACCAGCCTACTGCAACAACTAATGAGTCAACCGAAGCCTCGGCCCAAAAGGAACAACATAAAGATAATGTGATTGATCATCTTAAGCGTACCTCTATTGGTAAATTCTTCAATAAAAAGAAGGAACACCATCCTGTTGCTGAACACAAAGAAGAAGTCACTGAACCCACTACAAGCCATGATGAAGAAGTGACTCCTGCAGTGACATCAAATAATGAACCTGCTGATGTTCCTGGTAAGTTTATCAACAATGTGAACCAGTTACACATTATAAATGTCGTACATATCCTTTTTCTCTAAAAGGAATTGCCGTGTAGACAAGTGTAACTGTTTGTTGTGTTTAATGCAAATCATATTAATATTTTTATATAGTTGAGCATCAAGAAGAAAAACCCGTTCGTGCCTCATCTCCTCTTGGTCGTCGTTTGACTCAACTCTTCCGTGGCATTTCTCCCAAGAAGAAGGCTACTGCTGCTACCGCTGCTTCTGGTTCTACTTCTGAAGAACAAGAACACCAAGAACAACCTCATGATCCAATTTTGGATGCCCCTGCAGTTGCAGGAACACCTGCTAATGCTGTGAAAGTCAACTAAAAATAGCGCTTAACTCTTTATTTGGCTAAACTTTAATACTTACTAGTGTAATAGTTTATTATCATTATCATCATTTATTATTATATCTTTATTATTTTTATACTTTATTTTACTTTATATATTTTATAAAAGGAGAAAAAAAAATGGGAAAGGAAAAGATGCTCTAATAATTTACTTGCATTCTTTACCTTTGTTTGTCAATAAATATATATGTCTATTATTTACATGTTTTTCTTCTTTGTTTTAGTGAAGGACTTGAGTTGCATATGCAATAACTGATAAAATTACGCCTAACCTCCAGAATCGACTCCATGTGTTATTCTCTTTAGACGCATTTACATCATGCACTCCTGCAGCTTTTCGCCGTTCTGCTGCTTGCTCCATTCTTTTTTGACGCCGTTTCTCTTCTGCTTCATAATGACGTGTATAATGCTCTTGTTCATTAAACAAAGGTCCCTTGTGATTCTTCATTCTTTCTGCTTGTTCTCTTGCACTTGCTGATCCCGTGGCTCGAGGTGTCCTTCGTTTGAATTGCCATGCATGGGCATAATTACCACCTCCTGACCTTGAATAATTACCTCCACCTGTCGAAGGACTTAACTCGTTGTCATATTTTCTTTTACTCGCTTCATTGCCGAGTACTGCATAAGCTTCATTAACCTCTAAAAATTTTTCATGTGCTTCCTTGTCATTCGGATTCAGATCGGGATGGTACTTCTTTGACAGTCGATAGTACTGGGCTTTAATCGTCTTCTTGTCTGCGCGGTGGTTTAACTGTAGAGTATCATAATGGTTTTTACGCGCATACTGATAGACTGTAGTATGCAGTAAACGCCTTATTGTCATTACTCGATACGGTTTAAATTAATTAAAAAAAAGTCAACAAATGCTATGTATGATAAAAATGAAATCATCACAAGAAGCAATTAAAAGAGCGAATACATGTACTGCATTAACCATATATGCTGTCATGACTACATATATTAGCTATTATTATATGGAATATAGACCCTGTTTTACACTGCAAAAAACAAAAAGAGAGAGAGAAGCTGTTTAAGCTTATTTTATTGAAAAAAAAAAATGAACAAGCTATTTATTTTTTTTCATCCTTCTTTTTATCCATGTCTTCTAATGCCTTTTGGATACGTTCATCATTCTTATCAACACCTGGTAAGGAACCAAGAACGGCCGACATCATTTCTTCATCTTCTTTATCATCATGCCCTTCTGCCATTGACATTTCCATTGCTCTTTTAAGGGCATCCTCTTCATTCAAATCCTCCATTGTTTCATCTTCATCATGAACAGCTTGGTCGTTCATCGACATAGCCAAGGCTGCTTGAAGTTCGGCATCTTCGTCATTAGCATGTGTATCTATTGCCATGGAGGATTCCCCAGTCTTTGTGTTACTCTCACTGCTACCTGCCTTCTTTGCTGCCTCTGCTTCTTGACGCGCTTTTTCTTCTTCCATTGAGATACGTAATGCCTACAAAAGATATGATGAATAAACAATAATACTCCCATAAATCATCTTACCAAGGCAAGTTCGGGATCAAGACTGGGGTCAACACCAAACTCAAAGTCACCTCCTCCACTACCACCGAAGTTACCAGCTCCTTCTTCACCGTGAATGATGGGTGTGGAAATGAGCATATCGCTCAAAATATGAGGTCCAGGAGGAATAGTGACAAGGTGGCTATTGTCATTATTGTTGACGTTGCTAATAAATGCTTCTAATCTTGACGTATTCGCAGCTTCTTCGCCAAAATTGATAATATCCACTGCAACGTTATTCTTTTTAAGCTTTTTGGCAAGTTTGACAAGTGTTTTCTCATCAGCATCAAGAGGACTGGCCACAAACACAATAATTCTTTGATGTTGATTTCTATTCTGTCTATGTTTTAATGCAAGCTATACATTTTATATGTGTCAGTAGTGTGCATAGGATAGATACTTTATTTGTTTACCTGAGCGATCTGAATACTTGTTAAGAAATTAGATTTTCCTCCAGCCTTAATTCCATGCAAAGCACTAAGAATCTTGCCAACATCTGTTGTTAATGTCACCAATACTTCGGGACCCTTGCCAGCTGCTGTCATTAGGCCAACCGTATTTTCAGGGTTCGATTGTGTTTTAGATGAAAAGATAAGATTAACAGCTTCATTCTGTGCTACTAATCGAGTAGGGGAATAATCTCCATTTCGCATCCATTCCGAATTGTCAACACTATGTCAGGTTAATTAAATGTTTTATTGTATATATATTTGATATTTACACAATCATTGAAGCTTCCATCACCATTTTGATTTACTTGTGTCTTTTTTTAAAATTGAAAGGGAACAAAACGAGCTCTAGTAAACGCGTATGTTAATTTTCAATTGGATTACGCACACCCAAACGGCTTTGCTTAAATCATCATAAATTTAAAGGCCGATTTCTCCCTTTCATATAAGGCCATTAACCTAATATCACGAATATTTCAGTTCTTTTACTCATGCTCATATACTCTATAGCACACCATATATATCTGACATCAATCTTTTCTTATTTCAATGAATTACGAAATGACAAGAATAGTGTTATTTTATCAAACTAGACCAAAAAGCTTTTCCAAGTAAATTTTCCTCACTTTTTTCTCTTTGTCTCTTTTGCTGGGCTTGTATGAATTAAAAGAGAGGGTTCAAATAGAAAACACTGTCTATTAAAGTTCATCTAATATAAGAAGCAAGGAAATAGAAAACATATCGAGTTCAATGAGCATAGTCTATGCCGATTCTGTGGTACAAGAATTGGGAATAGTTGACAAAAGCGCGATTGTGCGCGGAAATCCAACGATCGATTTGCGTCAATTGACATTTTTAGTTTTTTTCTTTTTTTGAGAAAAGAGCTACATATAATCGAGCAAAAAAAAAAAGAGAGATGAAAATCAAGAGATATCTCTTCTTTTATTTTAATTTAGAGCACTCAATGGTTTAATTCACAAAGACAAAGCATTCACGTAAAGGGTCTCATGTCAATGGCATATGAGAACACCAAGCATCAACCTCTGATTACGGATAGCAGAACTCCGCGCATTTTGTTTTACAAAATATTTGAACAGATGGCCAAATGATGATTCACACTCTTTCTTTTTGATTTCTTATGCTGACAATAGCAGTCAAGGATAAAGTACATCGGTTAATCAGAACTATCCTGCCTTTTCTTAAATCAAGAGCAGGTATTCTTTCAATTAGCAGTGCAGCAATTCTTGCTGTATTATACTCGCTAGTACAAAAATTTAATAGGCCACCTTCACAATTAAGACACCTTCCTTATGTCGATCGCTTCACGTTTTTAAAATATGGGTTTAAAGATATTCCTTATGATCAGTACGGCAAGGAAAAACTACTACCACTCCTAAAGGCCGGGACAAATGGGATTTACTTGGTAAAGTATTCTTGAGAATTAAATGCATTTTTACCTACACTATGCTTATAGAGGTGCACAGTTGAAGGATGGTCCGTACGACTGGCTAATCCAATTGCCATTAAACAATTTACTCTAAAGCAAGGTAAAAGTTTCAATTATTGTAACACTGCCATAATAACAAACACACCATGACAGAGTATACTTTTCCAAAGGCAACAAACAATGGAGGTGTAGAAGGATCGCTTATTAAGAAATTCCTTGGTGGACCCAACATTGTGTTTCTCAGTGGTGCTGACTGGAAACGACATCGAAAGGTTATTGTTTGCATAAATTTCCCTTAAAAGTGACTTACTCTATTTATTGCAGATTGCAAACTTGGCTTTCCAACGCTCGATGCCTATCAAATTATTTGGTAAGCTTACCAAAAAGATGTTTGAATCAATGGAAGATCATGGTTATGACAATGTCGATGTAAATGACTTGTTCCAAAGATTTACACTGGACGCTATTGGTATCGGAGGATTCGGTAAATGAGAAGAAATAAGAAATCCAATATATATATATATATATATAACAAGCTCTTTAGGTTTTGATTTCAATGCCCTTAGTGATAAAGACAGTCAATGGGTCAAAAACTATGAATCTATTATGCAAGGTATGGCTAGCCCATTTTTCATTGCTTTCCCAGCATTTGATACAACCTACCGCCATTGGTTTAAAAAGCGATTGGAAGTTCACAACAACTTGGACATGTTCCTCGATAATATCGATAAAATGATTGAACAAAAGAGAAAGAATGTCTATGAGAATGCAGAGGCTAGCAGTTCTGATGAAGAAAAAGATTTATTAACACTCATGATTGAGTCTGAAACAAAAGGTGCCGGTGAACGTATGTCAGACGAAGAGCTTAGGGTAAATGTAAACAATTGACGGCGCCGACCGAAGTTTTTTCTAAACTTTAAAAACTAGAGCAACCTGTGTATCTTCTTTTTAGCTGGTCATGATACCACTGCAAATACACTTGCAGCCATTCTTTATGAACTTGCAAAGCATCCAGTAAGATAGAGATTGAATTGTAAAATTCTTTATTCACAGTCGTGCATAATAGGAAATTCAAGAAAGGGCAAGACAAGAAGCGATCCGTATACTCGGAGATGGCCCTGAAGACATTGTTCCTACTTTTGATCAGCTAAAGGAACTGTCATATATCAATATGATTATAAAAGAGGTAAGCCTTTTAAACCCCCCTCCTTTTTCTTTGTTTGTTCACTCTCTTCATTCCCCATTAGACCTTGCGTCGACATCCCCCGGCTTATGCAACCACAGATAGAGTTACTCAAGAAGACCTCATGCTTGGCGGCATGCATATTCCCAAAGGGTCGGGATTGGCTATTGATATTTATTTGCTTCATCATAACCCAGATGTTTGGGCAGATCCTTTTGAATTTAAGCCTGAAAGATTTGCCCCAGGCGGAGAAGCAGAACATCAAAAGGGGATTGCATGGGCGCCGTTTAGCAATGGCGGTCGTCAATGTGTTGGCATGAATTTTAGTCTCACTGAACAGCGTGTGTTGATACCCATGTTACGTAAGTGTTTTAGATACTCATAGTCATTCGCTGACTTTTTTTTTTAATCAGTGAAAAAATTTACCTGGACATTACCCAAAGACTCACCACACAAGGAGGAGCTCCTAAAAAGAGGTATCGCTTGGGGCTTGGTTACTTTTAGCGATAAGGTCAAAATTAATTTCAAAAAAAGACATTCATAACAAAGGTTAACATTTTTCTGAATCAATAAAAACGGAGTTTCAACTTTCTGGAAGATTTTTTTAGTTTTTACTCAGCACGTAGAGCCCAGGTTGATGTGCCTGGAACCATGGCACACTGTATGATGATCAATGAGAGAAGCATACCACGTGGGTTCTACATGGATTCCCATTTAAAATGAGTTTTTGCTTACATGAAGCTTGATTTGTAAATCAAAGATTAAGAAGAGAAGTATCTTTCATTGTATATGTTTAAGTTTTAATAAAGATCATAAAACAGGGAGAGGGAAATAAACAAAGAGGGAGAAGGGGGAAAAAGGATCATCAACATCAGTTGTTACACAAATGGACGCCTATTTACAAGTAATTGACATAGGATTATGCAATGCAATCATCAGCAAAAGGGAAAGCGCTGATCTGTGCATGGTCATCATTAAAAGAGGGGGTGCAAATTTCCTTCTTCAAAGTGCATACATTTCTAATATTCTTGTTTTGCTTGACAGCAGGTTTCCATGTAAAACTCTGAATCATTTACCCAGAGAGTCCGAGAGACTAAAATGGAATGATGAATGAACCGTTTATTATGACAACATGGCTCTTTGATATATTCAGATTATTCGTAATTACTCTCAATATCATTCGGTTTCAAGGGATTTTATGCACGGTTAATTTCTTTATTTTCAGAAAAAATGAATCATCGACTATAAACAAGATATTCCCATAATTCATCTGAACAAATTAGAAGATTCTACCTTGAATCATAATAAAATCCTATTTTCCTTACTGATCTTTTTATGATGAAATTCGGACAATAAAAATATAGTCTGTTTAGTCATCCAACCCTTTCTTATTCTCTTTTATAAAGACAATAAAAGTGTGTATAGTCAATACCTATGGTAGCCTTTTAAAGTGGCTCAAGGAGCGATTAACGAAAAATAGACAAGGTTCAGTTTATAGAATTGTCCGATATTCAATCATCCATGATTCTGACTACACGAGAAGTTATACAAATAAGGTATAGTACAGCAAACGGCAGTTTAAATTTATAAATATAGCAAATAAAGTAAACAAAATTAGCTTTAATTGTCTTACAAATAAAAAAGATCAGCACTTTTTTAGTTGATCACTCTTCTTTCTTCCCTTCTTTCTTTCCTCTTTTTTTTTTTTCATCTCTCCGTTCCTTAAAGAAGCACTTAAAGAAAATGCAATACAATGAAAAGCCTAAACTTCCTCCTATTCAATCTATGCTTGAAGGAGTATCTTTGCACGAAGGTTAGAATAAAAGACATATAATTGATATAACAAAACTAAAAGAAACATTAGTAAACAGACCAAAAGGACATAGACGCCATGCATCAGAGCACTCAAGTGCCTTTAAACCTTTCGTTGACCGAAAGAGTCATCATAATCATATTGAAACCAGTATGTCTGGACAACTGGAAAAACTTTCAATTCAGCCTATCCCCATAGAACCAAAAATCGATGAGCCACCCACAGGTCAACTGCTTCATCCTTTACCCTTTTCCCTTTCCTCCTATCGCTCTCCTCGCAATTTACATTCCCGCTCTTACTCTGATTATACCCATCCATATTATCCTCAGTCATCTCCTGCATCAAGCCATGCTTATCAACATCATCGTCGTGCCATATCGACAAACACATTTGATCTTTTACTTCAACCTTTAGCTCAACGACCTATTGATCATCATACTCCTGCTCCTTCTCTTATTTATCCTTCCTCATCATCTTCTTCTACAGTTACTACGAATGCTCCAACAAGCCCTCAGATGTCTGACGATGATGAAAACGAAGACGACGAAGACGAAGAAGAAGAAGAGGAAGAAGACGATGCAAGCAGTGAAGGATCGACATATTCTGAAACAGTTAAACGTAACAATAAAAAAGGAGATGCAATTAGAGCAACTACATCTTCATCGCCACCCCTATCTACAGCAACAACAACAACAAGAAAGCGTAGAGCACCACCCAGTAAGAAATACCACTGTACTTATTGCTCCAAGGGCTTCTCTCGCCCTTCATCGTTACGAATCCACACTTATTCCCACACTGGTGAAAGGCCATTTGAATGTCCGGAAGAAGGATGCAATCGTAAATTTAGTGTCCAAAGCAACATGAGACGCCATTTACGTGTTCATCGTGGTGGTCGACCAGCCAGAAGAAATGGAAGTATTCTTACTCCTGCTGAAAAGGCCCAGCTTATTAATAAGCCTTTAGCAGCCAAACCAGTTACCTGGAATAACTGTATTATCAATTCACCTATTTCATCTTCTAAAGCATACTTGAACTAATAAAAAAATTATTTCCTGTAAAGTGTAATTCAACAAGGTTTTTCATGACACGTTTTTTTGTAACAGCCAAGAAAAACGAATTATTACATCCATGGCATACATGAGTTACACATAAACAACTTTATGCACACAAAAGATATAGTTGCATGCCACATTCGATAATAGAAAAGGAGAGTATGTTGTTATGGTAATAAGCCATTTGTTGCTATAGATACGCTTCGGGAGGATTTCCGCGCTTCTTGAAAAACGATAACCCTCTTAGCCGAGAATGTGCATATGCATGATAAGAAATGAATGCATGCCTTGATACAACGTAACTGAGGAAGATCTTTTTATGTTTTAAATTCATATCAGTCATTCAAGTCTTTGCTTTCTTCTTATTTACTTTTCTTCATGAATATTTTCATTGTTTTTTTTTGCTAGCCATCGATTGGCCGAGTCGTATTCTGAAATTGTATGAAACGCGCGTGATATACGATCTCAGCAGGCAAAGTGATCGCTTGAATGATCCAAGCAGTAAAATTTCAAAGGGGCACACAAGAGATGATCGCGTTCGATCAATCACATTACGGCAATTGCCTATTTCGTTAGTTGCATGAAACTACCCTTATGGCTCGGCAAACACAATGCGGCCGAAAAAAAAAGGACGATCGATCTTGCTGAAGTAGATAAAGAGCAATATAAGCCTGACAGTTGTATATTTAATCAAGCTATTTCGGGAGATGATGGATTGCATTCAAATTACGTTCATAACTATTTTACTATTAAAAACATAATCATAATTCTATTTTAAAGAGAAAATAAAAAAAGGGGGGGAGAAAGGGAATACATGTGGGACTTCTTTGAAAGATTTCAATGGTTACTGTAAAGGGTGAAAAAAAGGAAGAAGGGTCTTTAACAGTATTTTTTAGATCTAGGCATAATAAGTCTTGGTGATAGTCGTAAAACCATGACAATGCCATCATCAGTACTAGTGACTATACCTTCCATCGGCTCTGATAGCGATGATTTTCGATCTATAACCCAGTCAAACCGTAGTCGTGCGACCAAGCTGTGTTCTTTTGCCATGTCTATATGTGCCTTAAGCGCGGGTATATCATGTTCATTCACAAAATCAAAGATCGATTGCCCGACAACTTCCGATATGGGTAAGGAAACCAACTCTTCAATCATGTCGGTGGCATAGACAATATATAAAAGATCAGTGAATCGGTTAAGGATTAAGCAAAATCGTTTTTCTGAAGAAAATGACATGTTTCCACCCCAGAGTTGAGCTGTCTTGATAATCCTCAGAACATTTTCTTTCCTTTCATTCCAAGCACCGGCTAATTTGAGTGCTCCACCTGGTTGACAGATGAACACTTCGTCAACCGTGTTTACTCTCATGCGATGATCTAGTCCATTTTCGTCATAGATGTAGTTTGCTACAATTAATAAGTTGTAACAATAGTTGATGATCGATTCAACTGTGATGTAACTGCGATCTTTTCGCAGGAATCTATAAGACACCATAGTGGCCATTCTTTCTTTTACGATGTTGACAGTATGCATCTTTAATAAATTAAGTTGATCTTCGGGATGAATCAGTTCTGAACCTGGTTGACCCAAAAGCTCCTCTGGTGTCCAACCACAGACTTCTGTTATGGTATCAGAGACAAAAACGATGGTTGTGGATGCTGAATTATCATAAATGACGATCCAACTATTTTTCATAGCTTTTTTATACAATTTTTAAGCTAAAATGACAAGTTTCAAAAATAAAAATAAATAGACAGTTCAATTTTTTTTTGTAGACATATGCCAAAAACCTGTAGACTGTTTTAATAGAACGAAGAAAAGAAGAAGAATAATGTTCAGGAATGTATGTGTACTTTGTAGTTTTATAAGCTAAAATGAGACACCTGCTAAAAGAGATTAGAGACAATAATACGCCTCGTCTACACGTGTCTACAGGCTTATCTGTATCACGGTTTAATGTAGCGGTGACTATAAAGGATTGGCTGTTTTTTAACTGGATATTACTATCTATTGAATTCTTTCTTTCCTTTTTTTTTTTTCTGGGTCTACTAATAATCACTGTGTCCCGGAACAACAAGAGAGTCATTTACCTGGACAGTTCTTTGATAAACTCTGCCCAGAAGATTTATTACAAAAAAGATGATGAGCTACGGTTGAGATAACTTGACAGTGCTTATAAATCACTTTATATTCCTTATTAACTATACATAGACTCTACTTTTACCTATTATTTTTCTTCTTTTCAAAATTTCCTATAAAAGGAAAAAGAGACTTTTCCAACAAAGTGGTCTAAAAAGGAATGGAGTGGCCCAGGTATCTTTTATTATTATTATTATTATTCTTGTTGATCTAGGTCAAAATTCGGTGTTTGACGAATGACGAGTACAACTCCATCATCTGTACAGCTAGCTATGGCTTCTAGTGGTTGATATAGTTCTTGTTGCTGATTGACTATCCAATCAAACCTGATTCGAATTACCAAGTTATTTTCAATAGTCAAGTCAATCTGTGTTATAAATGCAGATATATCTCTTTCCCTGATAAATTCGAAAATGGATTTCCCAAATGCATCAGAAATTGGTGTCCCTGTGAGCTCTTCTATCATACTTGAGGCAAAGGCAATATTGAGTGCATCCGTAAAACGATTCAGGATTAAACAAAATCTCTTTTCGGGTTTGTGATTGGTGACAATGTTGGACCAATTCTCTCCATCTTCCATTGTCAACTTCATTCTCTCTTCTTTGTCATTCCATGCACCAGACAGCTGAAGCGACCCGTCCGGTTTACAAATAAAAAACTCGTCTACTGAGTTGACTCTCATTCTATGATCCATAGATTCTGGACCTAGTACAAAAGTTGTCGTCACCAAGATATCGTAACAATAACTAACTAAGGTATCTATGGGAACCCAGGAGCCATTTTTATGTAAAAACCGATGAGATATCATACTCGACATTTTCTGATTAGCGACATTAGCATAATGGAATCTTTTTAGTGCGCTATGATCTTCAGGGTGAAAGTACATGTAGGAACCCTTTCCTATCAATTCGTTCGGTTCCCAACCACAACAGTCTGTGAAGCTTTCAGAAAAATATAAAAATTTGGCTGAAGGCGTATTGTCGTATATCGCAATAAAATTGTTCCTGTTCATCGAATAATTTGTGCGCGTGTGCGTGTGTGTAAAAAAGGAGAAAAGAAAGTCTAGAAAGAAAAAGAACGGAAAATTGTAACACTTTTAAACATTTGCACCTACTTTAAAAGGAAATCTAATCCACCGGGACGGGAAGTATCACTGCAGGTACAATATTTCCATATAAAAAATTTATTTTAGTATTAGACCTTACTAGTCAAAGATGCTACGTTTCAACGTTAACAAAAATGTTTAGTTACAGTTTTCGCACTTTTAAATTCAGACATAGTTAACACAACTTACACTGTAAGGACGTATGAGAGAGTTATATCAGTCATACGGAAGATTGGTCATTAAATGTACCTTGACGCATGAAAACATCAAGACGCTGGCTGTTGTTTCTTATAGCGAATAGAAACATGTCCAAGATATTGTATGCAGCCATGATGCCACGATTCCATACGATGTTGCAAGTGTTTTGTTTACACTTCAATATCATATGTACTCTTCGTTTTGGCTTCTCAGTTACAACATTGTCCATATTTCTATTTTTACACCTGTTGCATATTTGGCTTGTCAAATATTCATCTACCATACGTATTTCGAATTGGTTTCCGCAGTATTTTTGCAAAGCCTTTTTTATAAGACGGACAGGTGCCCCTCTGTTTCCTCTCAGGCTGTTATTAAACATACCATCGCCAAAAGCAATTATTGTTTTTCTGGGCTTGTCAGGATGATCAAGAGGAGCAGGAGGACAATATTTACTTTCATTTTCAGCAGACGATGTCTTGACCCCAGTAGACGACTTCTTGTTATACTTTACACTTCCGTACATTAACCCTTTGCAGATTTCATGCACCCCTTTTTGTTTACGAATATAGCATTGAAACTTTAATTTTGATGACCTACAGAATTTTGCTTGCTTAAATAAACAAGTAAAAAACCATACTTTGCACTTACCAGGCATTTTCATTATAGTAACTTGTAATATCATCATACAAACTGAGTCTTTCTTGGCAGGCTTTTGCAAACTCTGTGATATTTGATGTCTTCAGTGAGCTTAAATTAGAAATTTTCAAAAACTGAGCCGTGTGTTGTTCTTGATGCTTCTTTCGTATAAAATTTGCATTATTATAACCACACAGATGATAATACTCATCCAAACTTGTTGTCCTTTGCCTTCCAGATGTATCTACGGCGGTTAAGATTGTAGAAACACCTGAGTCTACTCCCCAAATATTACAACCATTTCGGATGTCATCAATAAAATATGAGGGGTTTTTAGTTGTTGCCAAAGATCTCTTGACAGTTCGGGTAAAAAGAAAAGATATTGAATGACCATCCGTCGTTATAACGTTTCTATTAATGATAATTAGGTATTCCTGTATTGTGTTGTTATTTTACACATACGTTGTCGTGCTGCCACAGGCTTAAGGGCTTCGCTCTTTGTGATGAGTAAGGGCAAATGTTAATGTGACCCTTTAAGCGAATAGCTAAATTTGAATTTTTGTGCGACTAATAACATACTCCAACTCCTCTCTGCATGCTTATTTATTGATGCAATAGTGCTGCATACATGGTTTCATAAAACTGTTTATTCATAATAGAGAGCATATATTTTAATAGTATTATTCGTAAAGGTTTATGTGTTGAAAAGAATGGCATAGTCATAAAGCACCCATAATTGTGAGCATGAGTTTGTTTGGTGACCATATGATGTGTTACATAGATGGATATATTAATATATTAATGAAGTAATAACTCTGGGCAGACAGCATTGTTGGTTGTATTTGAGCTTTCTGGCAGAAGGACTGAGATGCCAGAAAGAGAGGTAACTCTTGAAGGAGCGACACATAGCTGACCATGCATAAACGACGGACGCCGCAAGTCAACTCCTGCATATTTAAGTGATTGTCCTTGTGATTTATTAATTGTCATAGCGAAGCATCGTTTTACAGGAAATTGTTTCCTGATGAGCATAAATGGCATATTGCCTTCTAGGTTCGACAGAGTAAATCGTGGGATGAGCTCTATTGGAGCATCAGGTTTGTTGGCCAGGCGAACCCTAAGCATATACTGGCCAATATGCATTACGATTAGCCTCGTTCCGTTACAAAGACCTCTTGCTGGATCAATGTTTCGTAAAAGCATAACCGGTGTGAGGTATTGGTTGTTGTTGTTGTTAGTACTCTGTAATGGTAGAATAAAAGCAAAGAATTGATGAGTCTCTGTTTTATCCTTTTATTAGAAGTGAGAGGAAGAGCTCATAGCAAAAAGAAATTAGGTTGTTTTAAAAGAGGTCGGAGTACTAACTAAGGTACATGTAATTAAGTCAAATGTAATCTCACACGTAAAGATTAGTATTAGACATGGTCAAATACGACACGGTGCACCGACCTTTAGCTCCAGCTGTGAAGGGGGCAGGCCGGAGGGGTTAAGGCTTTGAAGGTATTCTGCAGGGATGGTGTGCAGGCTATCAGCATCGTTGATCTAATTCCAGTACATAATAGTGTGTTATAATAGTGTGTTATGTGTTATGTGTTATTTGTTATTTAAATAGAAAGAAAGAGAAGTTATCCGTATTACAACCATTTCAATATGCGCGTATGCAATATATTGAGACCTAGTCTCATTAGTTGAATGCTTTGATTCAATCTGTTTGATAAATATGTAGCTACTTGAATAATAAGAAAAGAAAAATATGTTAAATGTTGTACTTGTTAGAAAGGCAACACGAAGCTAAAGTAAAGATATAGCTCTAATATGCTCGCAAGCGCGTCCAAGAGAAAATATCCAGATATTTATGAATGTCGTACGCATTTAAGAAAGCCTAATACAAATATATTCATTAATGTGGTTCGAACAAATATTACAGCCGTTCTTTACTTGTAGTCGAGCTGTAAGGCTCGCGCTTATCTTGGTTATAACATACCAAAATGGCTTGAAAATCTAGACTCATCCGTTCTATATCTCATCTTGATAAGAATAAAATATGCAGAGCTGACTTGTGAAAATCACATAGTTAATATTTTGTGTACCACAAATGGTTTGCTAAAGCAGCCCCTTATGATCCCATCCCAAATTATGTCTCTTCCTTAATTCACTTATAATGACTTCATTTGCCTTCTGCAACAACATGTTTTGGTTAGATAGATAAGGAATATTGATCAATATCTCTTCCACTATGTTCGACCTCTATTATATTTGTATCAGTCGTAAGGAGAACTCTTACACAAGCTGAATTGGCAATATGGGAGCCAGAAGTATTCTCTTGGCTACTGTAAATTTTTAAGCTGCATCTGTTTGCTACTTTAATTTGAGGATCAGCATCGCTCTTTAAAAGCATCTTTGGATGACATCACATGCAGCGCCCAAGGTAGCGCCCGTAGCATTAGCCAAACCATAAGGGATGCGTTTGGCGGCCATTGAAATCAGTAGCAACGCACCCCTCTTTTGTCTAAAGAAAATCTTTCAAATCTTTCTTGAAAGACAGTTCTATTGACGTCCTTTCTCTCTTTTTATTTGTCTTTTTCTTTTAATAACACACACCTCTTAGACAAAAAAGAACAAGTGGTAAATCCATATAAAAGGACGAATATAAAATATTTACAACCTATAGCTTTTTCAGACATGTTGAGAGCCTCAAAGGTATACAATGGAGCCATTCGCTCGAGTTTACAAAGTAAACAACCATTAGGCACAATCATGACCAAGGTAATTCTAATTCTTTTTTAACCATTCACACAAGAAAAACTAACTTGTCATAGCGTTTTGAGACCACAGTCGCCCAAGAAACACCAAAGAAATCCAAGTTTTTTGGAAAGTTTGTAAGCATTACAGTTTTGTTAGGTGCTGGATTTGGTGGAACAACTTATTACGCGCTCCATGACAAAGAGTTCCGTAAAGCATTTACAACCTATGTTCCTGGTGCAAAGGAAGCTGTTGATTTTGCCGAGGATGTCCAAAAGAATTACAATATTGATCAATATATGAACCAAGCATCTGACTGGAAGAAACAAGCTGAGGATATTGCAAATACAGCTAAAGAATACACCACAAAGATCCAGGAAACAACCAACGGATATTACCAGGCTTTGACTGGCCAAAAGGGTAGTGATTATCCAGACAGCAAGCATTTAGTCCCTGCCGAAGCAGTTGTTGAAAAACATGCTTTGAGTACGCCTACTGATACAGTAACAACAATGAGCATGACGAGTGACAAGGAAACAAAACCTGCAGTGGTTGAAGTTGCCATCGAAAAGCCTGAACCTATTCAAGTCAAGATGATCAAATCAGACAATACAATCGTGCGTGAACTCTCGCAAATTGTCGTTGAATTGGCATCCATCTTAAACCAATCTGGCTTGTCTGGCTTAGGAAGAGAAGTGATCAAGGAAGCAGAAACAAAGATTGAAAAGTTGAATGAAAGCTTTTTAACCATAGACACTGAACAAGCAGCTATTCTTAAATCTATTCAAAGTCTCAAGGAAAAGGGTGATAGAGTGGAAGGCAGTCTGGAAGAATTCCGTGCAGAAGCATTGAAGACCATTGATGATAGCCAAGCTGTTGCTGCCTCTACCATTATCGCACGTGAAGCTCAATTGAGAAACCAATTTGAACAGACTCGTGCTGAAATGAAGACTTCATTTGCTCAACAGTTGGCTGCTGAACTTGCCGCTCAGCAAGAACAATTAGAAAAGGCTCGTTCTGAAGCCTTAGTTGAGCAAGCCAACGAATTGCAACGTCGTTTTGTGAAAGAAGTCAAATTGCTTGTTGAGCAAGAACGCGCAGGTCGCTTGGCCAAGCTAGATCAAATAGCTCAGCGCTTCAAGGCACTCGAGCAATACACACTCCAGAACTCCCAAGCCCTCGACAATTCACGTCAATCACACGTCATCCATATCACATTGAACGCTTTCCAGGATACACTCAATGCTCAACAAAAGCAACCCTTCGTTGATGAATTACAAGCTTTGAGCCACAATGCAAAGAATGATAAAGTTATTCAGACAGTACTGAAGGTTATTCCCAAAGAACTTGCAGAGGAAGGTGTCAACACAGTGAGCGAATTGGCTGTACGCTTCGAGGAAGTAGCTCAAGAAATCCGCCGTGTTGCTCTTGTCCCAGAGGACGGTGGTTTTGGCTCACACATCATTAGCTCGCTCATGTCCTATTTAATGTTTAAGAAATCTGGCTTGGTTGAAGGCGATGACGTCGAGTCTATTTTAGCACGTACAGAATATTACTTGAAGAGAGATAATTTAGAATACGCGACGCGTGAATTGAATCAGCTTGGAGGATGGCCAAAGAAATTGGCTCGCGATTGGATTCAATCAGCTAGACGTCATCTGGAAGTGAAACAGGCATTAGAGGTAAAAACTGAGAATATATATAACAAAATAACTTTTTCATAAACTCGTTTTTTTCCCTTTTTATAGGTTGCAGAAACACAAGCTGTTTTATTAAGCTTATTGGAAGTTTAGAATAAAAAAGAAACTTGTATAAACCATGCCTTGTTGCGGAAGGGGTGTCATTACGTAAATCTAACTTCAATTGATTAGTCAGTTCAATTACAGCAGACATTAATTGGGTAAATAAAAGTTCTGCATGATAAAACAATGACTTTTTAGCACATAAAAAAAGGGCTTTAAGCGAGGGTATTGAGTTAAATAGGATCTGTTTTTTTTTTCTTTTCTTTTCTTTTGCTTTGTTTTTTCCCTTTTCTATATTATTCTTTATCATCAACATACATCATGCCACAAGAGACTGCCATTAAAAAACTTCGCAACGACGTCGCTAATCGATTAAAGGGCGGTATCACGATTGTTGTATTGGGTGCATCTGGTGATTTAGCCAAAAAGAAGACATTCCCTGCCTTATTCTCTCTTTACAAAGATGGTTTCTTGCCTGAAAAGACAGAAATTGTGGGATATGCTCGATCTGATTTGGATACTCAAGAGTATCATAAGCGTGTCACGGCCAATCTCGAAGCCGAGGACGATGGGTCTAAAAAGAAGGTAGACGAATTTATTAAACTCTGTCATTACGTCAAGGGCAAATACGATGAAGATGATTCTTTTAAGAATCTTGACAAGTATATCTCAGAATCTGAAGACAAACGTGGCCTCAAGGGTGATCAAAAGAACAGAATGTTCTATATGGCACTTCCTCCAAGCGTTTATGTGCAAGTATCTCAAGGTTTGCACAAGTTTGTACGCAGTAAGGAAGGACATAATGCACTTGTTATTGAAAAGCCTTTTGGTAAGGACTCCGAGAGCGCCTGTAAGCTACTGAACGAAATCAAGAAACTGTTTCCTGAAGAAGAGGTAATAATAAACGTATATCAATGTCATAAGGCTAACATCACTCGATAGGTATATCGCATTGATCACTACCTCGGTAAGGAATTAGCAAAGAATATCATGAATGTTAGATTTGCAAATATGATCTTTGGTCCTCTTTGGAGTAGCCAGTACATTGACACTGTACAGATTACCCTCAAGGAACCCTTTGGCTGCGAAGGCAGAGGTGGTTACTTTGATGAATACGGCGTCATCCGTGATGTCCTTCAGAACCGTAAGCTACATTAATCATGTCATACTGTGTTGATGCTCACTAAGCTGTCATATAGACTTACTTCAATTATTTGCTCTTGTCGCTATGGAACGTCCTATCAAGCGTGAACCCGAGGCTATTCGAGATGAGAAAGTAAAGCTCTTACGATGCGTAAGACCCGTCAAGATGGAAGATTGCTTGCTAGGACAATATGTCAAGAATGGTGATAAGCCCGGATACACCGAAGACGAGACAGTAGCCGATGACAGCCTAACAGCCACATTTGCTGCTCTTGTCCTTTGGATCGATAACGAACGCTGGGACGGTGTTCCTTTTATTCTCAAGAACGGAAAAGCTATGGACAACAGCAAGGCAGAGATACGTATTCAATTCAAAAAGGTACCCGGAAATCTTTTCCATGGTGTGCCTCGAAATGAACTCGTTTTCCGCGTTCAACCAGGAGAAGCCATTTACATGAAGTTTAATAACAAGGTTCCTGGATTCTCTGTAGACAGCATGATCACAGAGCTTGATTTAACTTACAAGTCTCGATACGATAATTTGAAGATACCTGCTGCTTATGAAACTTTAATATTGGATGTCATGCGTGGTGATCATTCCAATTTCGTAAGAGACGACGAATTGGTTGCTGCTTGGAATATCTTTTCACCACTGTTGCACCAAATTGAAAACGACAAGGTGAAGCCTCATCCTTATCCTTATGGTTCCCGTGGACCTGAGCCATTAGACGAGTTTGTAAAGAAATATGGTGTTGAAAGAATTGACCATGAGAATTATCAGTGGCCCAAGCAAAACCTTGAAGAATAAATGTCTTTTTTTTTTTTCCTTTTGTAAAAATAAAAGCAAATGCTTAATGATTATTTGATCTTTTCGAGCATTTTAGGATACAAATAGTCTTTATTATTGATTGAAACAAGTAGTTAGTATTACATATGTGTATAATGGTTTCTGATTATATTTTATAATTGCGCTCTTGTAAAGTAGTGTAAGCGTATGCAAATAATTACTCGTTACAATTATATTCGGATATAGCTATGAAGCTATACATTACACGCTATAGAAGAGCAGGGTATAATACTTGATCAAGTTTTGTCCTGTTGTGATCTTTCCGTTCGTTTTCTCCTCCAAGCTGATCCAAAAATCAATAAGATAGGTATGCAGATATTGGATACTGTCATTATCGAGGCAACAACTGTGAACATCCAAGCGATACCAAGACCTTCAATACCAATATCAATAAAGAGAGCTGACACCGCACTATGTATATATTCACGGTAAGCATTTAAACAAGATAACCAAATACGCTCTCTCTTACCCTAATAAGCAACGTATTAAATTATTTGAAGCAGTAATGGAAGCACCTTTTCCAGGAAATAAATCAATCAAGATGGTTTGTGTGGTGGTACTAATAGCACTGTAATTGAGCCCCACTACACGCAAAAAAAAAAAAAAAAAAGAGTTAGCTTTATAAATTTCAAAACTAGAACAACCATTTACCAAAGAACTGAAGGATTAGTATTCCATACAAAGGCGTGCCCCATTGAAAACACCAGCCATAAAGAAATGTAATGGTGTGAAAGAACAAAATGTGTATCCAGGCCTTTTTAAAGCGAGCCATGTAAATAGGCATTTCTGTATCCGGTTGATCCGGGTGCTTTTCCTTGAACGCTTCTTTTGTTTTCCTATAGTCGTAATCCAAAATGTGTCCTCTAACGAAGGACCCAAGGATGACACCAATTCCTTGAAATAGAAAACAGAGGCCAATCTCGAGTTCCGATAGATATGGAAAATAAATACTAAATTGCTTCGTTGTCGAAGTCAAGTAGCAATAGAACCCAGCATAATTTATGCCGTTATATAGTATGATGATAAAGACGTCAGGTTGAAAAAGGTACGTAAATGGCTTGAAAAAGTTCATGGGCGGACGTTTGTTACAGCGTGCTTTGACTTCCTGTATACGTTTTTCGTCCAGTTTTCCGTGCCGACGCGCGTACCACTGCCAGATTGTAGGATTTGCATACCCGGAGCCGTTATCTACGAGTGCACGAAGAGTTTCAGGTAAAATAAGGGCTACGGATGCCAAGGAAATAGCACCGATAATCAAGAGGATCCAAAAGACCCATCTCCAGCCTAGCGTATCTGCAATGATTCCACCAAGGACTGGGCCAAAGACAGGACCAGATGACTGACCGATAGAGTAAATACCAAAGTAAGATCCGCGTCTATAACAAAAAAAAAGGGGGAGGGGGAAATGTCAACAAAAGATGAAAAAAAATTAAAACAGTTTACCGTTTAATATCTGCAATGTCGCTTAATACACCAGCACCGACAGCGATCACTGAACTTGATCCGAACGCTTGTAACATTCGGAAGCAAATAAGAGCAATATAGTTGGGGGTGAGAGCCAAGCCTATACAAGCACCACAGTAAACAAACATGGTGCCCATTAAAATAGGCCGTCTGCCTAGGCTATCTGCCAAGGTCCCCCAAAAAGAAGGCGAGAGGGCTTGCACAAGCATGTAGACGGTTACAGTCAGATTGACTTTTTCAGTAGATATCGACAAATCCTAAAGTATGTATTAGTTGTTTCTTTTGATAAGATTAAAAATTTACTCGTTGTATTTGATTTAGTGAAGGCAAATATATATTTGCAGTCAGAGGAGACATCATGGCGGTAAAAGCCGTAATGGTTAAAAATAAGATTTGCTGTGGTATTGAAAATGCTGTGTATGGTTCCTTTTCTTCATTGTCCGTACTTTCATTATCGCAAGTACTTTCTGTGCTTGGAGTGCTTTGTAAGCTATGTCTTGTCACGTCTTCATCAGTTTCTATGACTGTTTCTTCTAATCCGATGATACAGGAATCATCAGGCTTCATTTTGATAAAATAAGAGAATGTGGTAAGCAAACGAGAGGAAAAAAAGAGATAAGAGATCGAGTATCAACAGAAAGGATATATAGAGAGAGAGAAAAAGAAGGGGAATGCTTCATGCAGAACTTTTTATCTTATTCTCTGGATGATTTTTTTTCCTCAAGTCATTGGCCTTTTCAACTGTCTTTCTCGAAGATCTGTGTTATTGAAAACCTCGAGCCTCCTTTTTTTAAAGGGATGACCAAGAGAGAAAGATAGAGGGGTTAGCTTACATCTTATAAGGACGCTATTCCTTATGAGTACTGATTCATGTATTGTATAGTGTCATTGCTCCATCTCATGATAATCTTGACAGACTAAAGGAAGAACAGGTTTGGTTTATATAAACATGGCATCATCTCTAAAGTGTACTCATGCCGGAACAAAAGAAATTTCTGATAAGAACCATATGCATTTTCTACGTCGGCGTATTCTATAATTTAGGCCTTTTTTTTTTTTTTTTTTTTTGAACAAACAAATATATCTGTAAAAATCTACAGCATGTGCATAACTCTTGTCTTTTCTGTACACATTACAGAGAATAATTTATGTCATTCTTGTAAACTATAGCAAGTTGAGCAGTATCTCGTGCAATTTAATAGTTGAATACTCTTTATGGCTTACAATGACACACAATGTTACTTTGTTTACTTGTTGTTTTGCAGCAGAATGCCTATTTGTTTTTTAGACATTGGTGGTGTCGACTTCAGTGTTGCACAAGTTGGATCTTTTTTTTTTTTTTTTGCAGATGCAGAGAGACGCATCTATGGCATAAAAAAAGATTTTCTTCTGCTATGAGGAAAAACTATCTATTTATAGAAATCAAGCTGATTTCAGTGGGTTTTTTATCATTAGGATAACATAGAGATTTTCAAAGGTTTGTTAGTATAATGCAGGCAAATATGAAAAGGGATGTAAATCTCCCCTTGATTCTGCTGTCCTACAAAAATTAATGATCGACATTAAATAACTACGGTGGTAAGTAAGCAGCCTGTTATTTGACAACAATAGAGTATCTTCAACAGAGTACTTCTCCCGCACGTTATAAAGACAGCTTATAACGCTTTACTACAAAACGTGATCTCATATATATAAAGATGTGTATATAAGAGCTTTATAAAGAAATGTACAAGCGCGTATTTTTACATAATATGAAGCTATTCATCTGTTGTCCAACCCCATGTGGTTACAAAGCTCAGAGCTAGTACTACCACAGCTATCTTGAGTAAGAAAGAGTATTCTTCTAGACTAGACTGTAACACGATTCCTGCGATGATAGCGCCTATAGCAGGACCAATACTGCTGAATAATGCAGATGCCTTTGATCTTTCTTTCATGCGCTCATATTGATTCCAAACAGTAAACTGGATTTGATCAATTGCACTGGACCAAATTAGTTGAAATGAAACAGCTACATGTAAGATTAGACAGGATTGTGCCAATTCAAAAAGTATATGGTAATACCTTGTACAGCCTGTAATACAAATAAGGTTGCATTGGTTATAAGGCTATTGGGTTTAAGACAAGGATAGACGATAGTGCATATAATTAAGCAAATGTGTACTAGGGTTGTAGTCAATGTTAGGTTCAACTTGTGGATAAACCACTGATCCCAAAGAAGAAGAAGAGTTAAAAACTTTTATATATACCAACTACCTCATATTACCTTTTCGACGACACAATGCACAATAGATTGGCTTGTAATGTTTGTTACAATCAACCATGATATCATGGATAAAGAGATACCAAGTACAGAATAAGCATACATAAAAAGAAATGTATTCAAGAGTGCGTCTGTTATTCCCAAGAGTAAAATTGACATGTCAAGTGTCGTTAATTTCCAATTTTTCAGCTTTATCAGTTGATGGTTAATCGGTAAAACATAGTTTCTTGGTATAAATAAATCCTCATATAGTTCTTCATCCTCTTGTTTAGATAATAATGCAACTAGAGGATCAGTAGCTGTTGGCAGTGGAAGTAAAGCTAAAGCATAGGCATGAATGGTTACTGTCGTGTCCTGTTCGATGTAATCATCATCATTATTGTTATTATGATTCGTATATGTATTTGTCATTGTTCTTCTCGTATAAAATGAAGGTGCGTTGCTATCAAAACTTGAGACATGTCTCAGAGAATCATTTGTCAACATCCTATCTAGTTGACTAGCATCTTCCTCGGATATGTGTGATAGTTGTTCACCAAATATGCTGTATGGTTTATATATTGGAAAGTAGATACTGTTTTGATCTGTTGTTAAACTGAGTGCATTTTTTAACAAGAGAGGTGCTTGGTCATCACTGATATTTAACTCTGCAGGGCTAGATGGTTTAACCTGATTTATGTTTGATATGACGAATAAGGATATCATTCCAATGATCCAAAGGATAAGCAATATGAGTCTAATATTGTCTTCATTGGTAAAGTGAATAACTAAACCCGTTATTCCGATCAAGACAACGCCTGTGATATCTTTCCAACGTAAAAAGGATCCTATCATCTGGAGATTAGAGACAAGTCATATATGACAACTTTTATATATATAATTGTATATACCATAAAAAATAGTTCGATAATCTCCTAATACCTTTATAATGACTGTATGGATTAATATATCGAGTGGTTGATAAAATAGACCATCAAGTAAACAGCAGATAGCAAGTACAACATAGGATTGTTCTTCCAAAGTTAATATGATAATAAAGGGTATAGAGGACAATACTGTCAGTAGAGTAATGATCTTTCCATATAAATGAGTTCTACTGTTTGCAGTTATTGACCAAACTGCAGAAATAGATCGAAGTAAATAAATACTGGCTACAAATATTGATATTGACATTGTATTCAATTTTAGCTTGTCATATAAATAAAAGGGTATAAATGTCTCTACACTTTTTGTTGTGGAATATGCTATAATCAATAGCCTTGTCCAGTAAAGCATATTTTAGATTGAAACAAGAAAAAAAAAGAGAAAAAAAAGGTGAATTCTATTCGCTTTATACACAAACACACACACACACGCAAAAAAACAGAAACAGAGAGAGAGAGCAAAAAAAAAAAAAAAAAAGAGCGAGTGAGTGTATATTCTACTTTTAATAGATTTATCTTTCTAATAGATCAAACCCATTTACTTGTTTTTATTCAGAGTCCCTTTACTCATATTACCTTATTCTCTTGGTTTCACGATTTATGTACTGCAGCTCATTAACTCCGCACTACAGGTTTTCTGTTTTCTTCTCTTTTTGGATCAACATGGCTAGAACATCATGTATGCTTTCATTATGATATTGCCTCATGATAAATGATAAATGAAGAACTTTTCTGGGTATTTAAAAAGAAATTCACCAGCAGAAGGGGCGCTTCGTCTTTTTCTTCCTGCACTTGGCTCTAGTAAACGTGTACATATATCATATATCATCTTTCCGTTTAATAACTCTCTTAAAATCAGTTGTTTTGTGATCTTGGCTTCTTTTAGAAAAATGACTACTCTCTCTGATGATGTCCTTGGGAACAATGCGCCAAACAAAAGACGTGACGTCGGTTACGGTTAAACATATATCCATAGAGACACCCCCTGGCCTTTTGATTCGTTTAAACATTTTGGTTGAAAGAGAGGAGGGATATGGGGCGCGCGAAATAAGATTTTTGTTTTCTTTACTTTTGTTGGTAAAGACATCATTAATGGACAATGGGGAGTCCTGATGAATTAACCTTTTTTAAATTATAGATTCAGCCATGTCTCTTAGATTATTGACTAAAGGTGCTGCAGGTACGATTTGGGAATTACCATATATACTAAAGGTTGACACATTCTATATTAGTCGCCGCTGCCCGCCCTGCCTTCACTGCTGCCCGCCAAACTGTTCGTTCTTCTGCGTAAGATATAGAATTACAAACAAAGAATGTTGCTCATCTTTTTGATATAGTGTTCGTGGATTCACCACTGCAACTCAAGGTAATCAAAAAGAGAAACAACCTGAATACGACATGAAGCTAACTTTTTTATATAAAAGAGGAATCTAAGCAAAAGCCCAACAGCATTGTCGATGCTCTTCCCGGTAACTCTATTGTTGCCAAGGCTGGCTACCTCACTGGTGCCACTGGTTTAGCTACCTTCTTGATCTCCAAAGAAATCTACATCTTGAATGAAGAAACATTAGTCTTGATTGCTACTACCGGTCTTCTCGGTGTTCTTCTCAAATATCTTAGAGAACCCTTTACAAACATGGCTGATGAGCATATTGCTGTAAGTAAATAGGAGTGAGAGAGAACGAGAGAAGTGATCCATGTTGACATCTTTTTTACGTGTCAATAGCGTATCAAGAACATCTTGGTCCAAGCTCGTGAAGATCACAAGACCGCTGTCCAAGAGCGCATTGATGAAGCTGGTCAAATGAAGGACCTTGTTGATGTCACCAAGGCTCTCTTTGAACTTTCTCGTGAAACTGCCAAGTTAGAGGCTGAAGCCTTTGAATTGAAGCAAAAGGTCGCTGTTGCTGCCGAAGTCAAGTCTACTTTGGACTCTTGGGTTCGTCATGAAGCCAGTCTTCGTGAACGTGAACAGAAGCAATTGGCTGCTTACTTGTTTGAAAAGATTAACAAGGATCTTCAAGATCCCAAGATTCAACAACAAATTTTGGACCAAGCCCTTTTGGACGTTGAAAGTAAGTGCACAATGTTTATGTTTGAAACAAGTAAGCTTATTATGTGTTATATAGACATTGCAAAGAGAGCTTAAAAGAAGTATATTTAATAAACTCTAATGAAATGCTCTTGGGTGGGTATTTGTTAATTAAATCCTAAGCCTCCACGTCTGCCCTTTTGCATTTGTTTTCTAAATTGTAAACCGTGATCGAACTGCTTTTCCAAATCATGACTGATGCGATGATTCTCATCTTCATCAATGGCACTCTTTAGACTTCCATACAAACCGCCTTTCTTTTTCTCTTGATTGTCACTGCTTGATTTCTTTGCACCTAACAGCCTCAAGAACTTGTCTTTCTTGGCATCATCGCCTCCAAAGCTTGCTTTATCCCAGTTATTCCATCCACCCGTTGCCTATGTTAACATCAGTATAGATTCAACTTCTTTATGTATCTTATGTTTACATTGTCTGATTCTTTTATATGTTCATTATTTGATTTGCTCTTCTTTGCAGACTTGTCATCACTGCTGTCTTCCCTCTTTCTCTTTTCTTTCTTTTCCTTTTTTTCTTTCTTGTCTTTCTTTTCCTTTTTCTTTTCTTTTTTCTCTTTCTTTTCCTTTTTCTCCTTCTTTTCTTTCTTGTCTGTCTTCTTTTCTAAGATCTGCTCTGAATTATCCTTTTTGTCGCTTTTGCCCATTGCTTATGAAAAGAGATTGATCAATGTAAAAATTTCTTTCAAAAATAAGACGAAAGCGGAGTATTAACTTGTTTTCTTCTTTGTCCCCTTGCAAAAAAATATGTCAATGATTGCACGATCTATTCGACCTTTCACTATTGTCAATCGATTCTATACGACAGCTGCAGCTTCAGGTATAGATAAACTCCAAAGTAAGAAGAGACCTATAACATTTTATAGAATCAATTGTCGCACGTCTCAAGAATGACCGCAAGACATTTATGAAAGAAAAGAAGCAACCAGATCTCAACGTACTTAAAGGACTCTTGAGCGATTTCACTTATTATACAAAAAGCCCTAGCTTCAAGGAAGGCACCTCTGATGATGAAGCCATGATGTCAGTCTTGCAAAAGGCTATCAAGCGTCGTCAGGATTCTATTGAACAATTCAAGTCTGGGGGAAGACCTGAGTTAGCAGAACAAGAGTTGCAAGAATTAAAAGTACTCGAATCATATTTACCTGAACAAATGTCAGCTGAAGCGATTGAAAAGGAAGTTAAGAGTTTAATAGAACAACTCGGTGCTACCAGTGCTAAAGATATGGGTAAAGTTATGAAGGCTTGGAAGCATGATTCAGCTGTAGCGGATCGTAAACTTGTCAGTGATGCTGTAAAGAAACTATTGAGCCAATAAACAGTTTAGATATATGATAAAGAAGAAGTGCGCGATCATATGAGGTTCATTTGTCTCATGAAAATAACGCAGCAAGGGTTGTTACCCAAGCGGTTATTATCCCTCACACACATATACTGTATGTGTATCGAACGTTTTCACAGTGTAATCATTTCGCCCAATTTACATTTTATGCTTACTGTTGTGAAATGAGTCAACATTTTCAATCCTAATGCAAATCTTGATAAGCAAGCTAATAAAGTGTTTTAGATAATATATACTTATACTCACTTTTTATTATTCCAACACAAAGCTCATTAGCTTTATCAAGATTGTCAAAAGGACATAAAAGCTTGCTTTGGCCTGAACTGATAGATTCTTAAAAATAAATGGCGGATTTTAAAATCGTACTTCTCCTGCTCAATCTGGATCAAAGCGATGTGAACAGTGTATTAAATATATATGGTATCTTTGTTTACAAATCAAAACACGGCAACGAAATCCTCCTCCCTTCAAAAGACTAACGGCGCTCCTTGAATTTGATGCGCTGTCTATAACGACAGTGCATCCCTTAACGTCTTGATAAGTATAAAGCGAATAATACATTATTTATTTATCCATTAGTTCTTAGTTTTTTTTACAGTGCATCAAAGTTAATAATATGTAAAGCTTTTTGCCTTTCCATTTCATCTTCTCGTTTTTCCATGATGCGAAGTGCAGCCACCACAATTCCCAAGATGACAGCTGCTGTTGTTAATACACCCAGCACCCAAGGTATATAATCACCGGGTTTAATATACAATTCAACTTTCCATGATGAGCTATCCTGTACATCATCAGGCTGATAAGGCAAGATGACCAACTGTGAATTGGGTATCACGCCTTCATAAAAGTAATAGTTTTTCTCTTGATGTCTTGTAACTCCTGCAAACATTTCCTCGACATAATTATTTGTTCTTCCTAAACCAAATAGACAGTAAGGTGTCAAGAGAGGAAGATAAGCAGATTGAGATAGTTGTGTGATTTGATGTGATCTCTTGACTCCAGATGTATCCAACACTGTGAATTTCAATGATGCGCCGGGGTAACTTACACCGTATGCCTTTTGATTAGACACTCCGTTTGACACTAATAAAAATAAGCAAAGATGTCATCAAAAGTGTTTACCTACCTAATCCTTTCAAGAAAAAAGCATCATTAAAATAATTGTTGATAATAAAGTTGGGTATACGACCCGCATCAGATGAGGATGTTGACTGAAGGACAAGTATGTCCAGCGATCCCTAATCCATTTCGATGAGCATAATAATTTACTATAGCTTTGTTCCACTTACATCTTCATCAATGTCAAAAAATGCTGCTTGCCTGGGATGAGCTACTTTTTCTAAAGCATCTGATCCAGCTCTGACAACTGAAAATGTTCTTCTTCCTAGCTTTGTTGCTTTATCTGTACACATTTTTGAGTTACAAAGAATCGATTGGAGTAGGATGGCACGTTGACTAGTGGTTACAAGCAAATCAGGATATCCATCCATATTGTAGTCTCCTGTATGAACAGGCACAGGTAATTTGCCTCTAAAATGATTATCTAGAGTGAAAATAGTTTCCTTGGGATTCAGATATTCATTAATATCATATACAACATAATTCTATTTAAAGGTTACTACTTTACAAACATGACTATTCTCTAGTGTACCTCTGTGTTAGGTTTTGTGAAATCAAACTTAAAATTGGAATCGGCAATACACAGTGCATTTGCCTTTCTGCATCCTGTTCCTTCCTTGTTTTTCGTACATAGTCCCATCTGCTGATTATAAACGATATGAATACTGCATTTGGAGCCTTCACAGACAGGGAATACGATATCAATAGATCCATCTCCATCTATATCTGCAAAACTCAAAGGACCAGCGCCTGATGGTAAATCCAACTCTTGTGCCAACTTGAAACCATCTTGTCTTGAATTGACATGGATCTGTATTGACTGTGATTTACTTGATTTGGCGCACACAAACACCAAATCTAGGGTAATATTTTAAAAAACGGGTCTTTCACTTCTTTACCCAACTTGTATATACCTGCAAGACAATCACCATCTAAATCGACAAAAGCATTCGAATGTGGGCTTGCCCAAGTGCATTTGTCAATAGATTCCTTTTGAAAGATGACATTGGCTGATGTTCTAATACAATATATAAGTATCACACATATCAATAAAGTCTCAAACATACAGATTAAATAAAGAGCTTGTATTCCCTGTGTTGATCCATGTGCTTAGTTCATTTGTTGATTTTGCATAACCCAAAATATCTGTCTTCATGTCTCCATTAATATCTAATACGATAGGCAGGGCATGCTGAGCTGAAGGAAGCTTGATATTTTCTTCTTCTTTTTGAATTTTTAGTTACTATAGTTATTTTATGCTGATATCACACTTACCAAAGGTATCATTGCCATTGCCAAGATATATCTGCATTTTAATTTCATTGAATTTTTCTGGACTCTCTTCGCCCATAAGTAAAACGTCTAAATGACCATCATAGTTGTAGTCTCCTGGTACTACATTTGTAATAATAAATCCTGGTTGAATCAGTTTGTTATTGGGTAACGGTCGAAATGTGAAGCTTGCTATCAAGCAGAATTAAAAAAAGAGCCTTTCTCTCTTTTGTACGCTTACAGTGATCCCATAAGTAAACTGCAACTGAGGTCTGGTCCGCACTTAGGATAAACAAGTCTGTACTATAATATAACCGTCAATATCATGTAAACATCATTCTATGCCACAGTTACAATTTATCGCCGTTAAAATCTCCAAATGCGGCAATCGTGCCGTCAATCTTATCGAGACCTATTGTATCTGGTTTCAGACTATAAAGTTTATTTTTTGGAAATGTAGTCGCATAGTTGAATGTTTGGCATAATGTTGTGGTTGGTAATAGTCCTATGGCAAACAATAGCCACTGAATGCTTTTCATATTGAATAAAGAAAAAGGGAAAAAAGGCAAAGAATAACCTCTCAAAAAGGGAATACCGTGACTGTAAGACTCATTGCTCTTTTTTTTTTTTTTTTTTTTTTTTTTCTTTCCTTTCTTCCTTGGTGCAATGCGTATATGCTATTATGATTTGCTTGGTGTTGATCGTCAGGCTACTTCTTTAGACATTAAAAAAGCATATAGACAACAAGCACTCATTTGGCATCCAGGTAAGTTGACTCATATGCATATAACAAGTCAATTAACTCTCTTTCCCTCTTTTTGTAGATAAAAATGGTGATCGAGTACAAGAAGCTACGGAGCGATTTGCATTAATACAAGAAGCATATGAAGTTTTATCAGATCCACAAGAACGATCATGGTATGATGGTCATCGAGATTCTATTTTACGTGGTGAAGATCCCAATAGTCAAAAAGATAGTAGCGCTGGTACAACTGCTGAAGATCTTATGCGCTATTTCAGTATATCTGAATTTAAAGGTTATGATGATAACCCAAAGGTAAAGTAGAACTACACAATATCAATAAACAGCTCCATCAACTCAATCTTTTATTTAAGGGCTTTTACAACGTCTACCGCAGTCTGTTTGAACGGTTAGCCAAAGAAGAAGAAGAAGCGTTCAGAAACGATGTAAATATGGAGGATGATACGAAATATAGACCCTATCCAGCATTTGGAAATGCAGATACGCCATTTATAGAGAATGTCAGAGACTTTTATAATGCCTGGCTAAACTTTTCAACTGTAAAGTCATTCATTTGGATGGACAAGTGGAGGTTATCCGATGCACCGAACCGAATCGTACGTCGAGCAATGGAGAAAGAAAACAAAAAAGCTAGAGATACTGCAAAAAGAGAATATAACGACGTTGTCAAGGCATGTATCTCAAATTGTTCTCTTTGAATCTAACCCCTTATTTTTTTGGCAGAGCTTAGCGCAATATATTCGTAAACGAGATCCAAGAGTAAAATCTTATGTGGAAGAAGAACAAAGACGAAAGGAAGCTGCTGCCGCTGAACAAAAGGCAAGACAGCTACGTAAGAAGCAGGAAATGCAAGCGATGATAGATCAGTACGAGGAACCTGAGTGGGCCAAGATGGATGAGCTGGAAGAGGATGAGCAAATCGATGAAGAAGAATACTATGAAGAAGAACAGGACTTTTTCTGTGTCGTATGTGACAAGAGTTACAAGAGTGAAAAGCAATTTGTGAGCCATGAAAAGAGTAAAAGGCATTTGGATAATCTAGAACGACTACGTGAAGAAATGCTTGCAGATGAAGCAAGTTTTGAGTTTGGAACAACAGATCCAGTTGATGATTTAGTAGAGCAAATACAAGAAGTTGACCTTACAGCAGAAAATGATGTGATACTCAATAAAAAGAAAAAGAAAAAGAACAAGAAAAAGATACCAAACTTTGGATATGAAGAGGATCTAAACTTTATTTAGATAAAAATGGATCTGCGTCCTCAAATAAAACTTTGGGCTTTAATGGCCATTGATCAAATTTGATAGCTATTTGATCCAATTGTTCAATTGTCAAATCTCTAACAAAAACATCTGGATTATATGGAAGTCTACCGAGGAGAATTTCTGCACCAGGCCCTAATGTTCTACCAAATGTGTATGAGCTTTTTTGTGTATATCTAATAAAAATAAAAAAAGGGACATTACTTGATTGCAGTTGTAAGCTTTGTTTTAGGCTGAACAAATAAATGCTTCAAGACGTATTCAAATACATCCCAATCAGCATTTATTCTACTCTTTTCCCAAGGCACGATCGATACAAGATGATAGGAAGTCTATATGTATATGTAAACATAAATGATATTCACTTTTTTTGTACTTGAAACTTACTGAGTCAGGATATGCATCACCAGGCTTGGTTTCATATATCGTCTTTACTTCACCAACAGCTTCAGCCACAATGCTCATCTTGCATCGGGCTCTTTCACCTGCGACAGACGTGAGTTTCTAATAACATTTAGTTGACATCATACTATTTGTCTGTCAATGCACCTACGGGGTATAAAAGATCAGGAACCCAGAATGCCATTGGAATACGACCAAGAGAATGCATGGCCATTTTATTATGTACACAGCATACGAATTGTGATAGTAATTGTTCACCTCTTCTGCCTCTTGGTAGCATACCAGTAAAGAATAAGTTTGGGTGCACTATCATCATATATCAATACCCATTCTCTCTTTCTTATTGTCATGCTTTACCTTGTGACCAATCTGTGTTCACTAGATTTCCTAGGTGATCTGGTTTTTTAAGCTCTCCATAAGTCTCCCACTCATATCCATCCATTTTGAATACAGATACCTTTTCTTCCAGAGGTCCAAATACCTCTTCCTATAAACCCATTTTAGTTTTAATTGTCTATATTTTGTTCTCCTTTACCTGTAACCATTGATAGTATACACTCTGAGGTTCTAAAGAAATTACTCTTTTAAATCCAATATCTTTCAAGGCCCTCGTCCAGCAACCGAGCCCTTTATATGTATATAAGTCATTAACCCAGATAAAGTATCGAATCATCTACTTTACCTGGATATAATTCTAATGCTATTCTATTTTCAGGATTTTGTATATTTAATGCTTTAGCACATTCTACTTTATAAAAAACCAGTTACACTTGCTGTACTGTATTTACATTATTTATACTCACAGGCTGTTTCTGAACTACTCAAAGTAGCTCTAGGAAGTGTTTTTAGTGTCTTGAATCTAAACGCATTTGCCCATTCAGCACAAGTAGGAAAAGCATTTTTAAAATTGAATGCAAGTTTAGATCTACTCATGTTTAAACTCAAGATCAAAAAAAAAATTGTTTTTCTCCCCCTTCCCCCTTCTTCTTTTTTTGCTGCTTATTTTTTTTGACAGCCTCAACTCCGCCCATGAATGGAAATTTACTACAGTAGATTATTTTGTCATACTGGATGAGCGCCACATTGAGTAACAAGGTAAATAATTTAATGCACACAGGAACAACCGTAGTGTCAATATAATAAAGATGTTAAGGTATCATACTGTAAATATTCTATCAATAGCAAAGACGAACAATGAAGTCGAGGAATAAATGTTTATTATAAGGTTGAAAGTAAAAGTTATTTCACAAACGCAAGAATAAAAGTAATGCATAATTCGAAAGTTTATAATACAAAATATACAGAATACGACATCTTGGAATGACATTACTTTCTGGAAATAGTGTACTAGTACATATTCTACTTAGTATAGCTGCTATAAGGAAGATTTATACTTAATTCTCGTTCTTGATATAGTCAAGCTTAAATCGAGAATAAATTGTCATATTGCTGAAAGATGTGTAAAGGTTGTGCTTTTTTACCTGTCCCTGAAATGGTGTTGATCCTTTTACTACTATTCTTTGCTTTAGCTTCATTCGATTGTTTCAATATTTATGAACTCGTTGATTATTTCCTCAGAAGCTATCTTTGAGCACTAAAATAGTTTTTTTTTTTTCATGCAGCATTTATTGATCACTAACAATTAATAAATTGCTAAAGGATTGAAAGAAGAACAAAGATAGCTCTTTTTATCTGACATATTCTTGTTTGCTGAAGTTCAATAAAGAAACACCTTTACTGTGGGTAACATTTGTCTAGTAGATATCTTTGCCAAGTCAGATTTTATAAAGTTATTACAGAATATTAACAGTGTCAAAATATAGCATGAACACAATTACTTTTCAAATTGTGTGATTCAACTTCTTTCTCGTCTGGCGGGCAAACATGTTCCCCCAAAGAAAACAAGATTGAAGAATGGACTACATCTGTTGTACCAAATAGTTTAAAAAAAAAAGAAAAGTTATCTTTTAATAAGAAAAAGAAGTTTCATGTTACTTCTCTCACTTTTCCAAATGAAAGATATCGAATCTTAAATAGTGTTGCCAGCTCGTCTTTTTATTACCAAGATTAGCTTTGTAGAAAGACAAGAATCACAGAGAGTTGCATAAACATTTTAATTCTAGAAATTTAACCACACAAATGAGTGTACGCCAAATTTTGATGGATGTTTCAAAATCCGCATTATGAATTTCATTAGGCACCGCAGGCACTTTAAGAGTTTGTAACACTTTTCGTGTGTAGCTTATTTGTTTAAACCAAAGTTTAAGTGCGCCTATAATAATAATATTTGAGTGGCATGACTGTATTATTTACTCTGTTCTCGACTCAAGTGTAATACAATACCAACAAACTTAGCATTTCCTCTATTCACGTGAACCATTTTAGAGTCTACACGGAAGTCTATCTCTATAAGGAAATTCGGGGTAAGAAATCCTTTCATCAAAAATACATTAGCTCAAAAGCTATAAATAAAGGACACGTAAAGACGCATCCTTCTTCTCTTTATCTTTTCTCTCTGCCATGTTCGAATCTCACACTACTACCACTGTCTATACCTCTGAATCTACCTCTGAAGGTGGCGTCCAGACCTCCTTCTCTTCCTCCCACTCTCACACCTCTGCCACTCTCTCCATTCACGTTGCCACTGCCTCCAACTTGGTTGCTGCTCAACGCTTTGGTAAGCAAGACCCTTATCTTCGCTTCTCCTTGGACTTCAACAACAAGGAAGCCTTCTTCAAGACTTTCACACACAAGGATGGTGGTGAAAGTGCTGTCTGGAACCAATCTTTCACTCTCCCCTTGAACGGTGAGCCCGACCTCTACGTTGAAGTCGTCAATGAAGAAAACACTATTGATGAAGTCATTGGTTTCTGTGCTATTCCTATCAACCAAATTGTTCATGCTCCTGGTGCCAACTTAAACGGTCTCTTTGACCTCTATGATCTCAAGGGTCAACGCGCCGGTACTGTCAACATTCAATTTGCTGCCCTTGGTTTCCCCAACTCTCGACCTGCTGACTTTAGCGGTCAACCCGTCCGTGGTCAATCTTATGTTCATGAAGGACATGCTGCTCGTATGAAGTCCTCTCACAACAAGGCTACCGGTGTTGCTGTCGGTGCTGCTCTCCTCGGCGGTGCTCTTGCTGTCGGTGCTGGTTTCCTCGGTAAGAAGATGTATGATGATCATAAGGAACAAGAAGAACAGGAAAGACTTGAAGAAGAAGAGAAGCAACGTCTTGCCCAAGAAGAAGAGGAGAGACGTAACCGTGAACGTGCTGAGTTTGAGGCTGAACGTGCACGTTTCGAAGCTGAAAAGAACGAAAGAAGAAATGAGGAAGAACACGAAAAGAAGGAATGTAAGCCCAAGAAGGAGTGCAAGCCTAAGAAGTGTGATGATGAAAAGAATAAGCATCACAAGAAGAAGTGTGATGATGATGAAGAAGAACATCACCGCCGCCGTCGCAGTAGCAGCAGCAGCAGCGATGATGAAGATGCCAAGAAGTGGAACCCTGTTGGTACCTATGCTGCTGGTGATCGTGTCAAGTATCACGGTAAGGTCTACGTCTGCCTCCAAGGTCACACCTCTAACCCTACCTGGACTCCCGATGCTGCTCACTCTCTCTGGCAAGCTGAGTAAATACCCCCTCTCTCATACTCTTTTCTATAGCATGTAAAAAAAATCAAATTCTATAAATAAAAGTCATGTATAGTTCTTTTGTGTATAAAATATTTACCTTTTTTGATGTAAATAGCGCGTTTAAGAGCCCGCTTTAATTTAAAAGTAGACCAAGACAAAGGAGTTCAGCCAAGTCATTGAAGCAGTAATAGGATGACTATAGAACTGCAAGGGAATATATAAAGTTATTAAGTCTATAAATATCACATACACAAAGCTTGTGTATCACTTTTGATGCCCCCATCAATATACTTTCCATAAACAACCGCGCTGTTTCAACAGCAACTTTAATAACCATAAAGTTTATTTTGCTACTGCTGACAATAATAAATGCATATATTAAATATCACTCATGTTTCAAGTAATGCGCTATCGGAAAGGGAATACGCCTGCTTACAGTTAAAAGAAAGCGCGTAGATATGGACACGTAACTTTTTTTTTATTTGTCGAAGATTCTTGATAGTCGATTTTAAATGAAGGAGTTAAAAGCCATGGGAATACAGACGCTTTATCCGCCTATGGTATTAAACATTGCCCCCCTTTCATTTACAGGCTTTATGGTTGTTTCTTAGTTTTATGTTTACTCTTTTACTTGAGTAACCATCACCATAGCGTAATAGTGCATACAGAAGGTGAGTACAAGCTTGCGGTAGTTTGTAACTGTAATGGATGGTTTTGATATTTATACTTTTCCAATAAAAATCATAATAGAGGACTTATCTGTATAAAGATATACAGAGCATCTTAATGGAAAAGGAAATGACGCTATGGATTGGGGGGGGGAGTTGAGACATTATTTCTACTGTGACCTTTGCTCTGACCAGACAATCTGCATTGAAATGGCTGATCCTGCTTTGATTCCACCTTGTCTTTTGATTGGCTAATCCATCCTTGAGTTTATACATCTTTTTAAGCAACATTCTGCGTTTATTTATTTGTTCAACGGCCAACAAACAAAACTGTTCTTACATGGTTCCCTCAATATGACCTGACAACATGATCAGGCAATGTATCAAAAGCGGTGAGACTAATATAATGTTGTCAGAGTATGGGAACAATAGAAAATGTGTATGCAAAAGGAAAAGGACGACAGTTACAAAGAAAAAATGTTTACTCCCCTCTTTTGTTGACCATGTTTATTGGAAGTAACAACCCCTACCATAAGAATTATCCTCTTCTTTATGGTTTTGAACTTGTTAGTTTTGCCTCAAGTCTCTCTTCTCTCTTAGGTTAAAGAGATCTTGTGACCTAGCCCTGGAGACAGACAGCACCAGCAAAAATGCAGTAATAGCAACAGAAGCAGAATAATAAGAACTCCAAATAAGCAAAGCTATATAGAAAAAAAGCATGAATACAAATAAAACATGAAAGAATAAAACTATACAAGTTGTTGAAGCTTGATTACATCTTGAAAAAGAAAAAGTGCAAAAATGACATTTTTATTATGAAAAATAAATTTACAAGAAATGATCGCATCAGGTATATCGTTTGTCTTTTTTTTCTACCAATCAAGCTTAACCTTTTGGTTATGCTGACCATTGACCTCAATCTTTGTAGCTCTTCCTTTATATTCCTTTCCATCTAACCAAGGCCATGTTTGGGTACGTTTAGCTTCGAATTGAGCGATCTTGTCTGACTTTTGCATCGTTAATCCAATATCATCCAATCCATTAATAAGACAATGCTTGCGGAAGGCTTCAACTTCAAACTTGATTTCACCTTGAGGGTAGCGGACGACCTGATTGACGAGATCAACTTCGATTTCTGCGCCCTTCTTGGCTTCGGCAGCAATAGCTTCTAACTGATCTTGAGGAAGAACAAGAGGAAGCATACCATTCTTGAAGCAGTTGTTGAAGAAAATGTCAGCATAACTAGGGGCTAAGATACAGCGAATACCAAAATCGTTGAAAGCCCAAGGAGCGTGTTCACGACTGCTACCACAGCCAAAGTTGGGGCCTGTACAGACGAGGATGCGAGCTTGACGGAAGGGTTCTTGGTTGAGGACAAAGTTGGGATTCTCAGCGCCAGTCTGAGTATCGTAACGAAGATGGTAAAAGAGAGCACTACCGAGACCTGTACGCTTGATTGTCTTGAGGAACTGTTTGGGAATGATCATATCGGTATCGACGTTGGAGATATCGAGAGGAGCCGCGTAGCCCTTGAGAGTGGTGAACTTGGGCATGCCGCCTGAGGCTTGACCATCTGAAGAAGGAGGAGCGCGAACGACGGGGCTTGTGTCCTCAGGGATTTCAGAGGTTTTAGCAGAGATGCTGTCATGTTCAGGAATCACTTCTTGACGAGGGCTTTCACTTCTAGGACCTGGAATAGGAGACACATCTAATTGACGCACATCGGTAAGGCAGCCCTTGATACCAGCAGCAGCAGCCATAGCAGGGCTAACGAGATGAGTACGGCCCCCAGCACCTTGTCGACCTTCAAAGTTACGGTTGGAAGTAGACGCACAACGTTCACCAGGCTTCAATTGATCTGGGTTCATGCCAAGACACATAGAACAACCTGCTTCTCTCCAATCAAAACCAGCATCCGTAAAGATCTTGTCTAGCCCTTCACGCTCTGCCTGGAGCTTAACCAAACCAGAACCAGGAACAACCATGGCATCAACCCATTCAGCAACACGCTTACCTTTGACAACAGCTGCAGCAGCACGAAGATCCTCAATACGTGAGTTGGTGCAACTTCCGATAAATACCTTGTCGATCTTAACTCCTTCTAATGGTGTGTTGGGAGCAATACCGATATAATCCAAGGCACGCTGTACGGCTAAGCGGCGAGCAGGATCTGTGATCGTATCAAGATCTGGAGTTTTACCAGTGATCGGAGCCACATCCTGAGGACTCGTACCCCATGTGACAGTAGGAGCGATATCGGCTGCATTAATATCCACAGTATTATCATAGGCAGCATCTGGATCTGATTGAAGCGTCTTCCAATAAGCTACAGCACGGTCCCATTCTTCACCCTTGGGAGCCAAAGGCTTTTGACGAAGGTATTCAAAGGTAATTTCATCAGGAGCAATCATACCTGCACGCGCACCTGCTTCAATTGACATGTTACAGATGGACATTCTTGACTCCATTGACAATGCTCTGATCGCATCACCACAGAACTCGATGACACAGCCGGTACCGCCGGCAGTACCAATGACACCAATGATGTGAAGAACAACATCCTTAGAAGTAACGCCGGGTGAGAGCTCGCCTTGTACACGGATTCGCATATTTTTTGATTTCTTTTGCAAGAGAGTTTGCGTAGCAAGTACATGCTCTACTTCAGAAGTACCAATACCAAAGGCAAGTGCACCAAATGCACCATGTGTTGAAGTGTGTGAGTCTCCGCAGACGACGGTAGTACCAGGAAGGGTAAATCCTTGTTCAGGACCAATGACGTGTACAATACCTTGACGAGCATCTTCCATACCAAAGTAAGTAAGGCCAAATTCTTTAATATTGTGTTCCAAAGTCTCGCACTGAGTTCTTGAGTCGGCTTCCTTGATGAAGGTCGAGATGCTCTTGAAATTCTTTCGAGGAGTTGTGGGAATGTTGTGATCGACGGTAGCAAGTGTGCAGTCGGGTCGACGGACAGGTCGATTTGCGTTACGAAGCCCTTCGAATGCTTGAGGACTGGTCACTTCATGAACAAGATGTCTATCGATATAGATTAAACAGGTACCGTCCTCTTGACGATCGATGACGTGATCGTCCCATACTTTATCATAGAGTGTGCGAGCCATTATAGTTTTAAGAAGAAAAGAAGTAAATGTAAGAAAAGATAGTGAGAAAAAGAAAAAAGTTCATTTTTTTTTTATATGGAATCCAAAGCATAAGTGTTTATTTTGACTCAATCTATAAGCTCCATTGATTGGTCAATCTCAAACTAGTCCTTTTTTATTCCTTTTGATCCTCTCGCTGTCAATTTGCAGATCCGACCAAACAGATTCATCCTTGCCTCTTGCTTATTTGTGACTCAGTCAAAGAATTGATTCTATTGGCTGGTCTGGTTCAAGTCAGGGTGGGATTATGTTTCCCCTTTTTTCTTCGCATAAACAATTCATTTTACTTTTGAGGCCAAGGCAAGATGGCTTTTTTGAGATAACATTCCCTCATAAAGTAATCACTCAGCATAGAAAGAGAGCACTTAATACTTGAGCACATTATCACCAGCTGTTCAACTAAAGAAAATAGTTTACAGAGTCTGATCTGAATTGCCAAAGTAGTGTGGCTCAAAGATGAATGGCCACGAGTGGCGTAGACGAAACACGTATTTTTTCCATATCAATGTGCCTATGGCTATTAAAACTCAAAAAAAAATGTTTTAGTCAGGGCCATCCGTTGAACAGTTGACTGTCCGTGTACAAAATTTTGTTGGCTGTTGGGGGAATATCAAAACTATAGTTTCATTTTAGACCAAAGACTGTTTATCAGGAAAAGGGTTGACTATATGAATTCTACCGCATTACGGTTCGTGTTTATGACAACCAACAGGAAAAAAAAAAAAAAAGGAATAAGGGGCAGTAAGAAAAAGGGTAAAATAAACGACCCAATAAAAGTAAAAAGAGGAAAAATTTGTACAAGATCCTTTGTTTCTTTTCACAAAGCTTTTTTTTTCAGTGAAAAAAGCTTCCTGTGATTTACAATGTTGCGCACAGCTTCATCACCTGGACTCAATGAATTGTTTACTATAGATGGAAGTTACTTGATAAAGGAAGATATGAGTGAGGCTGACTTCTAAATTTATACACAAGCAAAAATGGAAAGAAAAGAAGAGCATCTTTGTACATCTTTAAAAAGCTTGCTGTGATAATATCGGAGTAGTCTGTTGATATCACGGGTAGACCTATTTGTTCAAAGATTGCTACCACGCATGCTCATTTCTATTGTGTCTTTTTTTTTGGCTCGTACCTTTTTTTAAAGGTTACACTATCACGTACATCTTTTTTTTTTTATTCTTTTGTTTTTAATAAAACGTACAAGTTATAAAATTGACATTTATCGAGATAGTCAAAGCAAGAGTAGCTTAAATGTAGATAGAAAATAGAAAGGCTATCATTCAAAAAGCGACTCTATCCGCTGTTGTAACGCTTAAAAGGAAGCATTTAACTAAGCGAGTAAGGTACAACATTGGGCACTCTCTTTATTGATGTCAATCTGTTATGACATCAAATAAATCATACAAGACATTCCAGGAGCTTCTCACTGTAAATAGAGTAGCCAAGATAACCACTCGTAGCATTTGAAGAAAGCCATAGATAGGGCCCATAGTCACACTCTGATTAATAGTTACTCTAGTAAACAGGCAGAAAACGCTCAGGCCAATACCTCCAATTTCCTTTTTTAATTTCCTTCCTTTCTTTCTTTCTTTGCTTTTCCTTTTTTCCCCTCTTATTTCCATCATATTTCCATAGACTCATTTGAACGAATGAAAGTAAAAGAATAGGTAACAGATGCGAAAATGACTCAATTCAGGTGCTAAATAAATCATTTCATTTTTAGTCAAGCTTAAAAGAAAGAAATTCCGCTTGAACACAGAAAAGCATTTTAAATGTAACATCCAAAGCTATCACGGGGCTGCCTCTGTTCACTTTATGATTTTTTTACTTTTAAGACCAAGTACGTAAGCAAAAGGGAAGGTGCAGGATCGATTAAAGCTAATGAATTTTTGTTCCCATGATCGACTGATGATGTTTGAAAGGAAACGAAGAAAAAACAAAAAAAAACAGGCCTTTTCCTTTTTTCACACCCATGATTCGTTTCACAAGAGGGACCAAAAGCCACTTATAAATATTAGAAGGATAATCTTTGCCTCTCTCTCTTTTTTTGTTTCTTTCTTACAACAATAAAAAAGTATTATAATAATAATATGGAATCACAGCCCACTCTCGTATACTGTAGTCGTGGTAAAAGCTACTGTCTTATTCATCGAAGATATTTTGAAACAAGTTGGTGTCCAGATTGCAGCCGATCAAGTCGTAAGTAACCCTCATTATTGTTTGTTTATGCAAGCCATTTATCATTTTTGTCATTTAGACCACTAAAACAGAAAAATAAGGAGGCCCTCTACAACATTAACCAAGAAAAAAAAAATATCATTAGACATTCAAAAAAAAATCATTATTGCTATTGTTATTATTATCATTATTCTTTATTTATTTTACGCAAAAAAAAAAGATGGATTCACCTTAGGCTTAAAAGTTCAAACGCTCTCCTCTCTTTTTTAAAAAGATATTTACCACTATGCCCTTTACATTTACCCCATACCCTATCTTTCTCTCTTTCTCTCCTTCTCTTTCTTCCTTTCTTTTTACAATAAAGATATGATGTATCTTCATACTACATTGATCATTCTTCTTTTTATGAACCAATCTAGGCCACATTCAATCCATCTTTCAATAGTTCATCATGATCGCATGATGGTACACAAAGAACGCACAGTTACCTTGTGCAACCAATTAGTTGCTACCCTCCATTTTCAGGTGATGATACGATATGATATAGCCGGATTTATTCAAACTGTATAAATATAGATATACTCCACTTGGTCTTTCCTAATCAAGTCTCTTTGTACAACAAAGTCTTATCGATCTTTACTCTTTTTGTCTGCCAACATCTATTTTCTTTCTGTTTATTATTTGCATGACTCTTTTGAATATTTTTGATGTCATGGAAACCAAACTGATACACACGGGCCTCTCTTCCTTTTCTTTTATTACTCCTTCGTCCTACCCTGTCTCTTAAAAGGCAATAACGTCTAGAATTAACGGAAGGACTATATTCCTCTTTCGACAAGTAGTACCAGCGCTATTACCGCGATGAAGCAGATCCCTTACTAAAAAATCATATGGAAAATGCATATACGGGTCACTGATGGTTACAATTGACACAGAGCTTAAAATATCGTATTTTCCTTTCATAAATAGACTATACAAGAGAGACTCTGTCGTTCTGTCTTTCTATTTGAACTGTTTTAGGAATCATATGACGTAGCTTATTTTTATATATGAATTTAAGCCGTAGCACAGCATGTTAGTAAATAATAAACGAGCCATGCTATGAGTCCCTTAAGCCCTTGTCGATCATTCCTCCGACAAGTCAACGCGTCCATTTGATAATAGTGTAAACAAGATAATCACGCAGACACTTCACGTGATGATGATGTTCTGGGATCCAGCCAAAACGGTTATTTTTAAAGTTTAGATAAACACTCTTTACTGCTTTTTTTTTTCTGATTCTGTTTACATATTACGTGTACATACTAGCTCTAGGGGTGAATTGAAATGCCAGTCAAGAGACTGTTTGAATATGATCACCCTATCCTCAGTACCTGTAAGATAGCCGTTGTCATAGTATTCCTCCTGTAACCTATTGTACATAAAATATGCGCGATATTTTTTTAATAATGTGCGCATTTATATTTATTCAACGCAAATGTCAAAATTTGTAACGCTTGAAATTCAATTTCCCATTGTGAAGAGAGGAAATCAATGCGTCTTGTGTATCCTTAACGAATTTTTCTCACCTTTTTTTTGCGTTCATAAAGTTATTCCTTATAGTTTTTTTTTTTTTTTTTTTTTT